TGGGGTGGGGGGGGGGGGGGGGGGGCGCGGCGGTGGAGAGTGAAGGAAAATTAAGATGTTTAAAAGAAATGGAAAGGCAAGCTCATATATGCATACAGTTGCTAATAAAAAGAAAAATCATCCCATTTCCCATAACCTTTAACTATTTATTAGATATTACCATACCAAGTAAAGGTCTGGCCAGTAACAACTTCATCACAGATGACTGCACAAGGGATGCAGAGGAAAGGCCCAAGGAACACTATGGCAGGATGATGGATGATGAGTTTGCTGTAAATGCATATGGACTCCCTGGGCCTGTTGATGATCATTCGCTTTTCTCACCATCAAACAACCTCTTTTTTTTGTAGTTTTATTGTTTAGTTTCATTAAATATGAATGCAGCCTTGGTTTTTATAAGAAGGGTACCAGAACGGAAAGTATAAAAATACCTGGAATTTGTGATTCTTGTGTAAAGACTGTGATACTCTAGGAAAGCTTCAGTTACTACAGTAATATATTGATTTTATTAGTTCTGAAGTGTATCACAGGGCAAGGTAGGTACTGTATAGCAGATGGTCTTCTCATAGGGGACATAACAAAACCAACTCAAAAATAATTAAATAGCGCAATTATTCTCCAACCCCGGGGAACACGTAGCTGCTCAATGCTGTGGTCAGCTTGCAAACATAAATTTATGGTAAACCTTACAGTTGTCAGACAGTTGATATGAAAATATGCGTGTATTTTCTCTCTTCTGGGTGGTATGGAAAATAATGACAGTAAGTTTTATAGGAAGGTATTCGCAAGTCCAATATTTATGCAGGTATCGTATAATTTTTTAACATCATACATTGAATGTCTTGCATCAAAACAATTCTCTGCATTGATGGAATGCCATTAGGCTTCAATTTACAGAAGAGGGAAAGTTGGTTAGATAAATCATGCAGAACTGTAAATCTTCAAAAATTTCTGGCTCAATAAATTTTGCAAAAACACTGAACAGAAAAGGTCCTTTAAATTTTCTTCATAAAATAGATGAAAAATTTGATCTTTAAGGCTCAGCAGGTATTGTGTTCCTACTTTGAATCCTTCTCCAAAAGCCACACGCTGCTCTTCTAGTAAATATTGCCACATTTTCAGACACATTCTATGGGCTATTTGTTAAAAGAATCCTCATTCAGCAGCGCTGAACAGCATACCCATGTGCAGGTACTGTAAAGAAGAACTTTCACAAGACCCTCTTCTCCCTAACAATTACACGGCCTTTTATCTTCCACAGCTTGTGCCTGCTATCCCGGTATCTCCTTTCCCTACACTTGATTTTGTATCACTAAGTTATACATCGGAAAATCCAGATCTAGTTACTCCGGTAGACTCCTGTAACATGAGGTATGTATAAACATACCTAAATGCATGGCTGTTCTTACTCAATTAATGCAGTTTAATCCTTTCATATTCTTTGCTCACACATAACTACATAACCTAGTATATATTGGGAAAATACCTTGAATTATGTGTGGAAAATACTTGCCTGAATACTTACAGCTGAAGATAGTAATTTGGTGCCAATTAAAAGCATTAAGCAGTTTTGCTCCTTCAGAAACACTATGCAACTTGCACTACTCAGAATTGTTGTGGGATTTTCTCCAACCTGACGTTAGATAGCTAATGAAAAATGGGAATAAGTAAGTGTTAAAATTATATTTACCTGATTCTCTTGTACGAACACGGGTCCATACACTAGATACTGATCCTCCTTCATTTGAGGCAACCACCCTATAAAGGTAGTCTTCAAAGAACATAGAGAAGAATAGAGGAGAAAAAACGAAAGGAAAAAAAAAAAAAAAAACCACCACTGAACATGGTAATACATTAATACAGAACAAAATAAAAATGATGCATTTCATTTAAGGAACCAATGTGTTACCTGTAAATGGTTGTAGACCACTCTCATAAACACTCTGCTCTTTTCCTCGGTATACTAGGATGGAGTCATTTCCCCTGCAGTTAACAGCACTGTCAGTTGATAGGCATCCGTCCAGATTGACTCTGACAGCACTGCTGGACACAGATGCCAAGTTAACGACAGCACCTCGTGTAAATTTAACATCCTTCATGCAACCACCGAAACCTAGCAAACAGTAAGGGATTAGTATCACATAAAGAGCTTCAGTCATTAATTAAGAATCGCTTTTGTACCTTTCAATTCTATATTTTCAGCTTTAAAGACTGTAATGTGAATATGTTAACTTCCAGCATGACACTTGGTCCCTCCTTTCAAGATACTAAACTGGCAAAAATCCCTGGTATTCTAGTGTTGAGTTCTTACCTTACTGAACTACACTTTCATTGTTATCAATTCCATCCCATGAGGAAATAGCTTTCTGTTTTCTGTCTTCTCTCTTTAAATTTATTACCATAAAAGTGATTCTGAATTTCAAAATCAGCTTTCTGCTGTTTGCTAATATTTTGTTAATACACACTCTTCCTCAAACTTGAGAAGAACATATAGATTAAATATATAATTAACTTCAGGAGATCATGGAGGTATATCAGTTTATCCTAATAGGGATATAACTGGTATGCTGTTTACAAACATACTCTAGAAACATAACCCCAAAGTGTTCATTTATGAGAAAAAAAAATTAAGTTACCTCATTTTATATTTATTTCTATATACACGTATATATATCTCTCTCTCTGTGGGTAATATTTCTATCACCATTACAAATATGTTAAATTACTGCAAGTAACTAAAAACACGACTACAAAATTTCAGGATGCAGTTCAAATTTCTATATGCTTCTATGACTTAATTTACAAAGAAATTAATAAATTGATACAAAATAGTTCTCAGAGCTGTATAGTATAGTGATTGGTGTTTAACATAAAACCCAAGTAAACAGTAACCAAAGTGACAACTTCAGTTCATTGAATAATTAACTTTGTAAATTAAAGATCAGCCTCTCACAGATCAGTGCTCTTTTTTAGCTTTACAAAAACATCGTATTTATATCTTTTGTACTTTCATTGCCTTTATTACTGCAAGCTGGCAGGTCAAAGTAATATTTATACTTACCCACCTGACATGAGAATCTAATATCCATACATAGTTCATGCAAAAAGAAAGGGGCACTGAAAGTGGACACCCATTTTGAATCATCCTCTATAAGACCTTCTCTCCCCACAATGCTAGGAATTTAGACAAACTGCTCCTTAAAATGAATACATCCTAATTTAAGCTCAGCTCCTAGTCCATAGCAATATGCTCAGTTTCTTAGGCAGTTTGTGGCAGGGGAAAGAACTAGTCCCAGTCTGCACGGGCATCTTAATCATTAGACAAAATGAACAGTTGTTTAATTTGTGATGAGATACATACTGTACAACCTATTTTAATACATTATTTTTAGTATCTTTTTAGCTGCATTTATCACTATTTGAAGATTTCTGACTGATGTCAGCCAGATGATCTCGTTTACTCTCAGGAAGCTGCAGAATAAGTAATGACAGTACAAATTCTCACAAATGTTCCTGCCAGCTCCCCTCCACCTTGACCTCTCAGGAGGGCATGTGATAGGTCATGCAAAGGCCTACAGACTCTAGCTGAAAATTCTTAAAATACAGTTGTAACTGACATGGAGGTGGGGTGGGAGGAGAAGGATATTTATCCTTTATTTTCTGTGAGAAAAACAATATTCCTTTATTCACAATTAACTACCAAGCAGCCATTCATTAGAAAACCTTTTGTAAATATTTTTTAAACTAGGAAGGTCTCCATATCCTATTATACCATTACATCATTATAGTTCTAAATAAAAGTATGTTTCAAAGCTGTAATGCCTAATCTTGCTCATCTAAATTTACATTTAGGAACACAGAAGAATGTTTTTATCTTCAGACGCTCTGCATATAAATTCACAGCCGCCATCTTATTTTGCAGCATGCTGAGGAGGCTTGGTGAAAAAAGTAATATTTATTGATGTGCCTCAATATGCACTTCAGACATTCACTTTAGATGTTATTTTGCCCTAGATTCTTTGTTCAGAGATCTCGTTGCTGCAGGAGTTGCGAATGCATCCACTCACGAGGCTGTAACATCTGCTACAAGGCAACACTGACAGGGTATGACTGGCTAACTCTTTTGGGCCATAAATATTATGCATACAGAACCTGGAGGAAAATTATAATATATGTGATACCTACAGCTGAAAGAATACTTAAAACACTATTTTGGAGCTATCTGTGAATGCCAGTGCATGGATTTGATTCAAACTATGCTATAGCTGTGAAACCACAAGGCTTCAATGGCTTTCCGCAGAGCTTACTTGAATGCACACATTCAAAGCCACTTACTAGATCCCCCACTAATCATTTACTGACTGCTACTTATTTGCCCACAGTATCTGAAAACTCACCATGACTGATAAATAGAATCATATAATGCTTTGGGTTGGAAGGGACCCTTAGAGGTCATCCAGCCCAACCCCCCTGCACTGAGCAGGGAACGCTTTAACCATATAAGGTTGCTCAGAGCCCCATCCAACCTCACCTTGAATGTTTCCAGGGATGGGGCCTCCACTACCTCTCTGGGCAACCCGTTCCAGTGCTTGACCGTAAAAAATTTCTTTCTTACCAAATAGCTTCATAAGTAATGAAAAACCACACCCAAACTGTAAACAGAGCAAGTTTAGTAGACACTTTTTGACTACATTTCATATAGTAGACCCTTTTGTGGAGACCATTATTACCAGCCTGTAATTAATGCTTCTATCTTTTCCCTAGAAATTTGACCTGTTCCAGAGCAGAAGGGTCACAGTGACAGCTAAAAACATGACTGTCTCCCCTCCTCCTGATAACATGAAAGATACCATGGTAACATAGCCAAAATCCAAATTCAGGGTTTTATATTCACTTAATGTTTTAGACCAGAATCAGTATCACCTAAAAGAGGACTAACAAACTCCCAACAATTCTTCCATGTGGCAGCATCCAGCCTCATTACAGTGATTTAAGCTATGTTTACTGTCTTCCACTGGTTTTGTATTCCAGATCTGCAAGTGATTCAAGTTGATCAAGCAAAACAAGCTTAACTGAACTAGCTTTCTCTAATGAAGATTTGAGATCATCTGGTTGGGCATCTCAGATTACCATTTGCTACTCTCCAGTTCCTCTCCTATGAGTTAGATTGCTTCAGATATCACTGGGTTGGAAGAATTTTTATAGCATTGCAAAAGGATCGGGACTGAGTAAAGCTAGATGGGTAGGGATAACCAGTAGTTAAAGCAACAATGGGTAGGAGGAAAAATTCATGTTACATATTCATGAATTTACCAGCAATAGAATGTCCACCTTGTGCATGACACCAATTTTTGAAAAACATATGTTCTTCTTGGTGTCATCTTACCTTGTTCTAACCCCACTTCTTTATAAAAATTCTGAATCTCAGGTGGGATTCCTCCTATGTACACTGGCGAGTTTACTCTCAGCTGCTGAACACCAGGTTCAAGCGTCTGCTCTCTCAGTTCATTCATACTTGCTGATAGTACAGAGCCCTCCTTGTTCACTGTGACTTTGTTCCATTTTCCATCACAATAAGACAGTCCTAACCAGAGATCCACTTGTGTAAAGACAATGCCAGTTTTTAAAAAGATGTTTAATATTCCACTTTTCAGTTCAATCTATATATTTCAAAACAGAAAAAAGATTTTGAAAGAGACATCACACACACAGCAACAACAGACAGTTATTTTTAAAAAATAACCAAGGGAGTCAAAGAACAAGACCAATGAATAAGACATTTTTACCTTTAGGATAGCAGAAATTACAACAAAATTGTTTACACAAAACATGCTAAATACAATGTATCAGTTAATTCAGAATGTAGGAAAATATACTCTGATTTTTTGATGACTGACTTTGGCACTAATGCAAGTAAAAAAAAAAAAGACAATGAACCAGGACTGTTTTGCTTTTTTTTGAGGATGAGAAAACAGTATTTTATCTATCAATTCATTTTTTAGAAGAATGTAACAAGATAATAAGGAAATGAAATGTCACACCTGATTAAGGTCTTTTTAATTGGCTGGTGAACTCAATTTCAAATTTTTCCAGCATATCTTGATTCTGTACTTCATCGTTATTCTCCTAAATCTTGTAAGAAAATAATTGTTTTTGTCTGTGCTTTTTGAGATTAATGTGCCAATTCTCTAATAGAAATACTTTTTACTTAAATTTTCACTGCAGAAGTTTCCAAATGCTTTACTGCAAGACCCTTTATCCTAACTGAATGGAACACAAATGGGCTGAGACTGTAAGCTGGCAGGTATAGAGCACTAAACACCTAGGTGATGAACTTGTGGTTGAAAAATATGGACACGTTCACAAAAAGGCATTACTGTTTCCATGCCAAAATCTTAAGTGAAATAAATACTACAGATTAATATAAATCCTTATCACCAGTATTGACAAACTGACGTATTTAGGTTAGCGATAATTTTAATATTGCAGTATTTGTAATTGGATCGTATTTCCTCAGCAGAGACCCCAACTGAAGAAAGAACTCAGTACTTGAGATGTTATGGGAAATACAGGTCCTGTCCCAGAGTGCACAGACTGCTTGCTCATGAGACAGACGGATTTTGTTTATTTGTTTGTTTGGGACCACAACTTTTCCTATTTTCATGAGTTCATAGCCCTTCATAGCTAAGGACTCTATAATACAAATGAAGGACAGACCATGGCATCAATGCTGATGAGTATAGCTTGAAAAAGCAGTCTACTGGGCAAGTCACCATTTTTCTTCACTGATGAGAATCAATACAGAGCACACTGTGCTGGTGCAAAGAAAGCATTTCAGCTGCATGACTACAGTAGTATGCCAGCAAGTCTGCCAGACCTGGAAGCTGGAGAGAGGACATGATTGACATAGCATCACTACTCAGTACCTCCCTCTTCCAATTTACTCATCTTGGCATAGTCTTAAAGCAAGCAGAGAATGATTCCTGTGCTTTTTGTGATGACTTCGACTGACATTTAGAATGCCCAAGTGAGCTAAAGATAGAGGGCCACTGTTCACTTTGAACTGTTCCGCATGGTGAAGATTATTTAAAAAAAAAAAAAAAAAGGGTCAAAGTCCTGCATACGTCTAAGATTGGCAGTGCTTAGGCTTTCGTTGCTGTTGAAGTGGTCAGCATCAAAATCAGTAATGCAAACTCTATCAGCAGTCACGGTATCTTCTTTCAATCACAAACACATGAGGAAACACATGCCAGAGTGAGAGCTAGTGATTCATACTAGTTTATCTGGTCACATTTTGCTCATAATTATTGTGCCTGCATCCAAAGAGAATCAGATTGACCTCTCTAGCTTGAGTTAATTCTCAGGGCATGGAAGTCATGGAAGAAGTGACCTTTACACAGAGCACCTTTCTAGGACATAATTTTGTCTTGGGCAGAAGACAAGACAGAGTCTTTGGCCATTTGGTAGCAGGCCAGCCATGTGTCTAGTTTAGTCATTCCAACATTATAAAGCTAATAAGAGAGCTGTGACCTATGCAAAGGGAAGGGTCAGGGAATACCATCTTACATTGGCACTCAGGATAAGTGGTATAGCTTCTAATCTGTTTTGCAGTACAAGTATCTCCTGACCAAAACTCCCAACAAAGACATCATAGCTCATGCGCAACATGCTACACACCTCATTTTCACTTTCTATTAACCTTTTTTTTGTGAGCTCAAGTGTACAGAAAAACCTTCTGTCATCATTATGCATGTGTAGAACACAAAGCTGCAAGGGTTGGAAAAGCATGCGTATACTCATCCTCTCTAAAACTCCTCATCTTAAGGCTATGGAGATGTTGAGGTCAAGAGTAAAGTGAGATTAAAAAAAATTTACTTGACTTAGGACAAATGCTAAGAAAACTATCTAATCACAGTTTTCAGCGCTAAAAATAATATAAATATGACTGCCAAAAATCTGGAAGTATGAGTAGAGAAGGAAAGTGTTTTAACTACTTTATGCTTTTGACTGCACTTTAAATTTAGTAAGTCCCCTTTTTCCTTTATAGTCAGAAGCTGTTTTCTCATATTTTTCTTTCACAGAGCAATAGAAAGGAAACAAGGATCACGTACCACAAGAATCTCCAGAAGAACCCAAACCCTATGTTGTCCCTGTGAATACCATTAATTTAAATAGTGCCCCTGTACAGTGAATTACATACAGGTCTTTTTAGGGTGGGAAAGTACTGTATGTATAGCGTCTTACACTATTAGCTCATGATCTTGGTCATTACTTGAGGGCAAAACTAAAGTAATAACATGTAATTAGCAAGACTTGTTATTGGAAGTCGTTATAATTTTTGAACTAAGGCTGCTTGGAAAAGAGGAAGCTATCAGATCTAGTAGAATTCAAAATCCAGGAAAAAATTATCTGCTGGAAAAGTCAGTAATATAAAAAGTAAATATAGAGTAAGTTATAGTTGACCTGAAAAGGCGAAAAATATATTTATATGTTTTAGGTCAGAAGTTTAAAAGAAAAGGCACATTAGATATAATGCCATGCAATAAAACAGGCTGTGACATGACAGCCATTAGCAAACCAGCTGCATTATAATAAATAAATAAATAAATGAAAGTCAATAAACATGCAGAAATGGCAGATTAGGTCATAAAGAGTAACAATACCCTCAAAAATCTCTAAATGTAAATGATTGCTTCTTGGACCAACTAAAAAGATATATTACTTTCAATGTAATAGCTACTAGTTGGTGCAAGTAGTAACTATGTTCACCCACCAAGCAATGGTGACCACAGTCTAATTACATTCCAAATCCTTGGGGGAACAAAAATATGAAAATCCAGAGCCATGTAAGTAATAAAAACATTTGAAAAGCTGCAACAAACACACTCAACCTTAAACAAAATCCTGGAAGAGATGGAAGCACAAGTACTTCCAAGCATAAAACAGTCTTATTTAACAGACACCAAAAAGAAAGTTCATAGGCATTATCTCACAAATTTGCCTAATACAGGATTTGTGCAGCTTCCTCTACAGTGTTAGGAAAACAGTGATAGCGATAAGATGGGATTAAGCTGGACCACTAATTTCTGTCTATATGACAACCCTTATGTTTCAAACCAAAATGACAAAATCTTATTGATTATAAAAAATACATACACCTTAAAGAGCAAGCTTTATTAGGATACTGGGCAACTTCCATCAGGAACTTTTTGATTTACAATTTAATTGATTTCATTCTAATATGAGAACTGGGAAATTGGGTAACTATAATTTCCCAGGAATGAACCAAAAGCTTTTAATACACATCATCTATTCTATTTTCTAATCACTTCTAATCCAACAAAGAGAATAATTTTGCTTTTTGTATATTGATATCTTTCTTTTTTATTATATAAATAACACAGGTAATTTATTCTGAGCATTTGCTGGAGTCTTTTTGTTCCCCTTACACTTTGCTGTGCACAGCATTTCAAAATAAGTGAAACAAAGAAGTAACTTATGGTTTGAAATTTCTTTAAACACTGGACATATCTTAGTAGACAAAACTCAGAGGTCATATCTGAATATAGTTATTTGTATGTCTGAACTTACTGCAAGATAATCTGGGCCATCTTTATTGTAAACAAACAAAAGCAATCCATTCAGTTGATCTGTTCTAAATTTGAATGAGATCTCAAATTCCAGTCCACCACTGAAAACACCTGAATGCAGTTCCAGGAATCCTTGAAAGAAAGTGAATTCATGTGTAAGTTAAATCAAATACATAAATACATAGGTTAAGAAACCAAAAGCAAAACTCCAGGTGCTACTTTCTACTTTGACATGAGGAACTCGGAGGTTTCAGGATTAAGATTTACAACTTTATCACTCAGCTTTGTAAAGGACAGTTATCCATAATGTACTGCAACAAACCAAACTCGTGCAATGTCCTAAATTTTGCTACCTGGCATTTTTTTGATGCTTTATAGGCATCTGTGTCTCTCAAAAGTGAAACTTCACCTTTTACATGCATATCAAATCTGCATAGTTACAGCAGCAGCACCTGCCTGTGAATGCAATTCCTCTTCTGTGCAGCAGTCTTTTGTAAACCCAGAAGCCAAATTTTAAACCATTCAAAAATAATCCTATATAACTAAAACTGCTTTGAAAAGCAGATCACTGCAATACTTCTGATACGATCACCTTTTATATCTCAAGAACATACTTGGATAGAGCAATAGCACAGCAAACTACCTTTGCCAAGAAAATGTGCTCCTTCTGAGAGGACAACAGGACAACCTTCCCAAATATGATAGACATTCTTTTGCTCTTCAGCATCCTGCCAGTTCAAAGATTCCCAGTTTTCATAGGGAGTATGCACTTTTTTCAAAAATATGTCACTGAGACACCCCACAAATCCTTTCTGGACTACCATCTTCATCCCTGCAAAAAAGGAAAATAATTTTTAAGCCAATCACATGCAACTAAACACAGGGATTAATTTGTTTTATACATGCTCACCCTATCATATATTTCCATATGTGCATTGATAACCAGCCATCAATCACTCCATAAAGCTGGTCTCCAAGCTAAATCCAGATTTCTGAATGGGTCTAGTCACTAAAAGACAGGAGCTACTGCTACGTAGCTGGAAAATATTAAACTTTTCAAGATTTTGCATAAGGTACTTCAAAATCAACAGCATAAATCTACGCCATGAAGATTCCAAGGAAAGTTTTCAGGTTTACCCTCTTTAAAGAAAAGAATAATTGTGCAGAAAGGCATGCATCTGGTGAATCGGAAGAAACAGTGTTGCAAAAGCTAAGGCAGAGGAATACATGATTAGAAGCTTCATCAGGAAGTTTTTCTTTCCTTGTTTTGGTAAAAAAAAAAAAGTGATTAATGGCTGCTATCTCTTTTTCTTTACTGGGGACAAAAATATAAAGCAGGTTTTATAGATGGTGTTCTCTCAGATAGTATTTACAGTTAATCTCATTTTGATTATTTAACTGAGGTTTTTGAGGGGGGCATCCTGGATTACTTTATGAACTAAAGTTTTAGAAGAACATGTGCACATATTTCCGGTTTTAGTAAAGTGACATGAAGTTGTACTCCAGTGTACCTCACATCAAGTCATCAACTAGATTTCAAGTCTTTATCAGTGGTGGGAACACAAACTTAATACAAACAATTTGGCTTTCAGGTTAATATGAAAACAACAAAAGCCTGGTTATGAATTCACTGAGAACAGCTGATTGTATACCAGTTTTTTATGCAGTCACCTCTGTTATCTGCTGGTATACATACACTTAGTATATATATCAAGTTTCTATATGAAGACATATGTTTATTGAATGTTGTGGAAGTCAGCTACAATCCAGCTCCACATAAATATATCTGTAGAATACAGATATATTCATACACCACTTAGTTCAAAGCAACAATCCCTGAAGGATCCCAACTCACACCAAAAAAGGCCAGCAAGTTGTGTCCCTGCATCCAGGTGGGATGCATAACCCTGTGCTTAAGCTAATAAAAACAATTAGTATGTGTACTTTGGAAAAGAATTTGGGAATCTGGAATGTAAAAAATACCCATAAGTTTCACATGCATACCAGTTCTGTGCATAAAATTCATTAAAATGTACACAGACCTCATACACTGCTTTACTGCTGCTGAAATCAGCTACATAGATATTTCAATCTATCCTGAAAGATAAAATTGGAGAAACTGTACAGACCTATTTTTTTTATTAAAACAATTACGTAAATTATGCAAATTAAGTACTGTCCTCATGTTTCTGACACAATGTCAATACAGCCTACAGCACTGCAAAGGTAGTTAACTCAGTGCCACTGTATAGGATTTGTCATATTATACAGCCCACAGTCATACTCACCTACATCCTTTCTTACAATAGTATAACCCTGTGGAAGTCCTCCAACAAAAACCCCCATGTTCTCTCCAATAATGGTACTGCCACTAGTTGCTAAGGAAGAACCTGAACAAAATAGGTCATTATTCTTGTGTTCAATGCTTTCAACAGATTTTCAACTCAATAACAGAATATTGACATTTGAGAAAAGAGGCTAATGTAACACCATATCTTTATACCTGCCCATACGTAATATCCTGAAAATATTTACAACTCTATTTTACAAAAGAATATTAATACAATCACAGAGTCACAAGCACAAAAAGACAAACTCCTCACACTTACTATTAAATTACCAAAGATTCGCAATGGATATCTCAGGTGCACGGACAAAACAGTAGTGATTTTGTCAGAAAATCAAGTGAATTTTTTGCTGTATAGATGAAGACAGGCAGTAGAAAAGTAAGCAAGTGAGCAACACCCTGACTAATACCAAAATAATAAAGCAAAATAGAACTGGATTGATTACCTGTGTACTGCCCATCCACTGTGATGTTTCCCAGTGCTTGAATTCTTGTAGCAATTATTTGGTGCCAACTGTTATCATTGTACTCTTTTCCACCATCATTAGTTGGAGTGACTGCTACCGCAGATCCCTTTTTATTAACAGAAGAGTCTGATTTAGAATATTATGAAGGTAAGATTTAGAATGATACCTTACTTTTTATACCACTCTGTGGTATATAACATCTAAAAATAAAGGCAAAAGTCCTCTGTTTAACTTCTTTCGGAATACTGAATGATGTTTAGGACTGATTTCCCCACTAAATTAACCTTCTCAAATAATAAATGAGGGATCAAGGATCCAGTTCAGTTTCTATTAAAAATAGAAAACCCTGTGTAGTTCCCCTGATAAAGACGAGGATGAGGCACAAATTACTGAGGGTCACGTCACTCAGATTTTTTTTTTTTTTTTTTTTTAATGAAGTCTCTATTTAACTACTTCATGGATTGCTGTGGTTGTAAAGTTTGATGGCCTTGATTCAACATGCCATCCACAGAAAGCAACCGTGTATCAGGATTGTTGACTGCAGTGCCTGTCTACAGGAAGGGACCTGAAAAAGAGATGTATTTGTAGGACAGTATGAAGATGTGTCTTCTGTCCCTGTTAACCTGGTATCAAAAGGACTTGAATTTTTAGGTGAGAGAGTATAATACATTTAGGAAGGTAAAGATCATACCAAGAGATTCAGGGGGGGTGGCGGGGGGGAGGGTAACAGAAGGTAGTTATTGAGGATGTTTTTACCGTGCAAGGGATGCTTGTAAAAATGTTTTTAAATTTAACTAGAATTTTTAGCTGCTTTTATTGAAACAAAAAATATAATTATATGAGGGGGTGAATTTAGAGACATCCATGACAAAATGCAGCAAAATCTTTTCTGAATTGCTAAGGAAGAGGAATATAACAGATGCTGTTGCCAAAACAAATCTCAAGACTGTAAACAACCAAACAAAATTACCCCATAAATTCATATAATGATGCAATAAAAATAAAATTAATGTATTTCAAGAATTTTCCTGAGATTTATATCCAAATAGTCTTCTAACTTCCCAATAATTCCAGTTATGTTGTGTCAGGACCTTATACTGTACTTAAACCATGTGGGAACTTGAAGTTATTCTGTTGAATTCACAAAATAGAACTGTCCTATGTAGCAGGCAACTACTGAATGGAAAAACATTTCTTTGCATATGCACTACATAAGATTGAAGAATCACAACGTCTGCAGTTACTTTATGGCTTAAGACAGGCTTAAAAAAAAATTTCCAAAACATATGTAGAAGAAAAAGAAAAGGTTCCTTATAATTTGGGGGTCTAGCTTGTTACTTTGCAGTAGCAAACCAGACAGTTCCATATTTTCTTTTTTCCCCCCAGATCTTCTAGTACTCTTTCTGGCTCAGGCCTTAGAGTTATGCATATGAAGAAAACCTGTTGATAAAAGCAACCATCCATTGTGATTAATACTAAAAAGATCTTGTTAAAATTTAGTATTCTGCCTTTAGTGATGTGCATTTCTTAGAAACTGCTTGTCAGCATACAGATTTATAAACACTGTATGCATTTTACAGTACATTTTGAATTGGGGACTGTCACCATGTATGTATGTATGTATGAAAGTGTATAGGATGTGTACATACGTACATGATTACAGAAAACATTATTTCCCATTAATATTTACAGCATGTTTCCTACTCCATTCAGCCAACATCTCGGTAGTGAGGCAGTTTGTACAGCAGTCCTCTGTCCCATGATAAAAATACAAAGCTATATATCCTTACATGCTAATGTGCACTTTTTCATATACTATTTTTTATTGTCTTCTCTCCTATTTCAACATTTTAATATTTTACAAACACACATTTCATTATCGTAGTTTAATAATTAAAACCAGAACTGGTGTCATGCCCAATTAATGTGCCCTGGTAGCATGCCCATTAGTTTTTCCATTAGTGAATTCAACAATACTAATGGGATTACTAGCATGGGATGCTAATTGGGCGTGACATAAGAAACTGGCTTACTTCTTAGCATACCCTTGCTAATGATGAAATTAATGAGCATTTTATTAAATGCTGTCTCATCAAAGTGTACTTAGTTAGCGTTAAAATTGTTACAAACGATGCTGCATTCTAAAGATCAGGTGCCTGAATAAGTGGTTCTTCACATTATGTTTGGCAACAGTCTAGAGCATTAGCAGTTTTATACATCAGAAACCACATTTATTTGAAACCAATTCAATCTGGGACCACACAACCATATGTGCTAACCTGTGCTTAATTTCAGGGGGAAAAAAAAAAAAAAGAAAAGAAAAGAAAAAGATGGTGTTCAGGATTCAGCATGCATTGCATTGGAGGCCTCTGTACAACGTTTTATCCAGAACTACTCGAGCGACTCTGTGATTATGTTCAAACATTCTGTTGTGAAATGGCTTGTTATGCATTTTGGAAATCACACATAGGGAACCAAATCTGGATTAGTTTGCTGAGCCATACAGTAAGTCTTAATTTTTTAGCAGCTCTCAGTAATAACTAAGTAAATATGAATCTCTGTGGCTCTTCATGCTGATGATTACTGTCAGGAAAATACATAGAAACATCACAAATGTGGATCCTCAAAGATACTGTCTAGGTGCCAAAGTCTGAATGTAACTACACTTCTCCCAGTCAAGTTCTCTCAATAACCAAACTCCTATGACTGAGAAGATGAACAAGTACTGAAGTTTTGCCAGTGCCAAGCAGCAAGGTATAGTCAGGATTCATAGCTAAGTGTTCTCCATCTTCCTTTATTTGGGGAGTAACAGCTCACCCTCAGACTGTGCCTAGTACTTCAGCCTCTGCACAAACCACAGGCAACAAGAAAAGTGTCAAGTGTTTGTCCTTTTTTTCTGTAAAGTTTACTAAATGGATCAAATGGATCATCTAAATGGAAGAGCTGGATTCAATTCCCTCCATATTGTGAGAAGAATCTCTATACTCTATCCTCAGAAGACTGTCATAATCACTAAGGAAAATGGTGCTCCAGATTGGCCTTAAATTTCCACTGTTAGTGATTTCACTTTGTATAAAATATTCAGTGCTTCCCTGGGAAAAAGATAGAACAAATGACCTGTAGCCGCTGAAAGATAACTATAAATTTAGCTAGAGTCAATTGTGTAGTTCAGGGGTGGATTTAAAGGCATCATGATGGGAAGAAACTCCACGGACAGCTGAAGGTTTGCAGACACACTGAGTTTGGAGGAAGGTCTATGGAACAATTTGATTACACAGACAAGACTGAGGAAGACATCTGTTAGTAAAAAAACCTCATGCTTCCTGGACCATGAGTAGAAACCTGCAAAGAATGACAGTAAAACAGTAAGGAAGGAAAAATGAGCAGCTAGACAAAACAAAAGGGAGACAAAAGAGTTTGACAACATCTAGATGAATGGTCATGTACATAATGCTGAGAGAAGTATGAATGGATAGGAGGAAAAGGATTTGAAATTAACACTAAGAGAAGGAAGAAGTTAGGCTGCTGAAGACTCCCCACTAAGAAGACTTAGCAGGACTATCACCCGAGCAGATACAACAAAGAGAAAACACGCTGCTGATCATGAGCAAAGATACATACCAGAACCTTGAAAGGTACTAAGGGTAAAAATAATCAACCTGCGACAGAACACAGCTGGAAGGGAGCACAGAATATTACACCACACTGCTCTAGATAAAAAGCAGCAGAGACACAATTGTCATCAAAAAGAATTTTTGCAGTTTTTAGGAGAAGAGCACAGAAGCAGGGCCATAAATACTTATCATATATGCCACACCCATAATTAGAGAAACAGAGAAATTAGAGAAAATAATGCATATAACCTGGTTAAGAAACTACATGATGTCAATAAGAAGTAATTAAAGCATTTGCACACAAATGCAAACTGTGATGCACAAATGAAGGATTAAGATTTGCTGCTAAAGAACGTGATACCTGACATTATAGGATAGGAATAGCAAATCATGGCAAAAAGAAAAAAAGAAAAAAACTATGTAGAAAACATAGTAACAAAGGTAAAGATAGTGAGGTAGCACAGCATATTAAGGATACAGAAGACTGAAAAAAAATCTCATAACTGAATTTTCACAAGTAAAAGTTTTAGAAAAAGATACTAAAATAATTATATTAATGTACCCCACAGTACCCTACTTCTGAATCTGAGAAAGCACAGGAATCTCTTCCATGTTATTAATGAGAAATTAGAAAACATTATCAGAGTTGTCCCAAGCTGATTCAAATGAAACACAAATATAAACAAAGATATATTCTTAAACAAGTAATTTGTTAAAATTCAAGTTAGTAATACTGAAAATATTGATGAACTGAGAAGCTAGGGACTGAATATGGACAAGACCTGCATATTTTGCAGTTAAAAGATGGGGGGAAAGGGATAAAAAGAAGAAAAAGAAAAGAAAAGCCCCAAACCAGTCACTCTCCCACCTGTCCCCCTTCCTCCCCAATTCCCCAAATAACATGAATCCAAACAAATACTACATCTTCTAGGGAATAAGTCCAACCTAGCTGACATAAAACTCCTTCAGAAGGTACAAATCTGCAAGGAGGGCTAGGAATACTATCTGAAGCACTAAAATACTAGTTGAAAGATATCTGCTCCCATTAAAACAAACAAAACAAAAAATATCATCAAACTATTACACCTAGGAAGATCTTGCAAAAGAAATAAAAATTCTTTTTCAGTTAAGTGAAGGTATAAGTGTAAAAGAGATAAAACAGAACTAGTACCTATTAAAATGTGGATGAGGGCAACATTAACGACAATGTTAAGCATGGTCCCAAAAATTGAGGTCCATGCTGATTCAGTTTGCAGCAAGGAAAAGAAGATAAAGCCTGCGTGTAAATGCAGTGAAAATAATAGAAATGTATATCTTGGGGACAGAAACAGATTTAATGGTTTCTAGCAAGGGGACTGCATACACGCTAGCCTCTGTGTAGCACCACGCCGCCTCTACAGACTCTCCAGAGCTGAGGAGGAGATTCACTGCTGGATAACACCTTTGCCTGTTCATGGAGCACCAGTGCCTGCACCACAGCAGAGCTCAGGAAGCAAAGGTTAACAGTGGGTCATCAAATCTCTAAATCCCCACCATTTCATACCTTTAAGCATTTCCGCTCAACCTCCCATAGTAGTAGACACAAGACCAATCACATAATTAGCCACTGAGGCATGACAGAAGACAGGGCTGATACAGTGGCCAGGCCTTCCAGCAACACGGAGGGAACGATAACCTTATGAAAAGGACGCACATATATGGATACATACAATATCATATTCTGCTGGTATCATTACAAAAGTCCGATAATTACTTACGGTTTCTTGTATACTTATGAAATATAAGTGAGTGTGCAATGCTTTTTTATTCCATGAGGCGATCCAATTTTGGGGTGCAGGGAAAACAGAAAATACCCAAACAGCAATGCAAGGAATGTGGCCGTGTTTTTAATTTTGTGCAATTTATGTGATAATATTTCCCGCATTATTTATGTCTTTGCTATGGTCATTATTACTAGAAGTGAGAGACTACTTTCATCACATTAATGGCAACATGCTGATTTCAGTTGGAAATTACAAAGTCTCAAGATGAGAGGCTTAAAAACAATTGACTAAAAATATATATAACCTCTATTTTCTAATTCAAAAACTAGTTCTACCCACCTTTGAAACCTTGGTACTATAACCTGTAGTGGTGTTTGATGGTACTGACAAAAAACCCCAACCCATAAAAATGCAAACATAAAGTCATGAATTGCAGCCAGCATAACAAAAAATGAGCAAAGCTTTAGTGTTTCAGTGTTTCTCTCTCCAAAATGTCCAGTTACTTAAGGGTTCTGAAGAGCCAGTTAACTTGTATCAATTAAATAATAATAATAAAAAAGAGATAAGTATGTAAAGAAGTACTGAAAGAAATAATATAAACTATTTTTATAGGATCCCGTCTTTTGTTGTACCTGTGGATCAAAAAGAAAATAAGGACGCCCACTCCTCAGTTGAAGTGCAATATATTCCTCTTGATTCCCAGGTGATGCAGAGAAAAAAATCAAACCATCAGGTTCCTGGGTTCTAAATTTCACTTTAATACCTGTTTAGAAAAAGCAAGCAGATGGTTAATGCCAAAAATGGTTCTTATGCATTTTAACAGTGTCATTACAAACAAAAAGTTGTTTAAAACCAGCAGTAAAATGGCAAACCAAAATCATGGAAGTTTTGTCTGCCCAAAACCCCTGTCAGTCATTGCAGGAGAAATTTTACTAATCCAATCTGGACCAGCCTTTGAGAGAAATGCCTGTGATTTCAAAGCCCTTACTCATCTGTAAAAAAAAGATGCAACTGTGACTTATGCTGTTCAGTAATTTCTTTCTTAAAAAAAAAAAAAGTAATTCAAATATTAGCATACTATTCTTTTCATGCACATTTTCGCTATCTTATGTCAGATGGAAAACAAAAAGTGACAAAAGTTTTTCTTGTAGACAGCATCCATATTAAAAAAAATGAAAGAATTATAATTCTGATACACATTCATACTAGATCATGCTTGTTAATTACCTATACCCCTAAGAAATACCGTTAGACCCTGTTTCCTAATACACAAATGTTTTCATGCAAATCACATGATGCACTCACAGATATGGAACATATTCTCTAGGCAATGAAAATCAGTCATGCTATTAAAATATCTGCAAAAAGCAGTTGTACACAAGTAACACCCAGCAAGTAAAAAAACTCAATGAATACTGTCCATACGCTTAAGGGAAAGCATAGCTTTGCCTGGCTCGGAAATAACCGCTATTGCAGTACTTTGAGGTTCCAGGTATTTTTTTTTTCAGGTATTTTTATCAAGCTGCCAAAAGACATTTCTGAAGACCAGACGATCCCTCCTCACACCTAATTCAGAAGGACTAACACAAAAAAAAAGTAAATGAGTTTCTGCAAACACACCATTATTTCATAATGTTGTGTTAGAAAATATAAATTAAATTGTTCATAACAGTAATATTGCAGTAATTCTAAAAGTTTTCAAATGTTATGCAGGAACTTACTTTCTTCTTTGGATATTGAAGAGGCTTACAAACCTTAATTTCTGCCTGTAGAGCTGCCATAGTTTCAAATAAAGTATTGATGAGTCAGGAACCACCCATTTCAGTCATAGCCTGTACAGCAAATTCTTCTAAATTAATTTGTCACCTATCACATAATTCAGAAAAGGACTCTGCCCTTTAAGTGCAGGTATCTTTGGAGTTTCTCATGAGATACGGAAGTTCATACAAGCTAGCTCTAAATAAGTACCTTCATACGTCAATATTTTATTATATTTCTAGAAGTGAGTGCGATGGAGAAACCAAGTATTAAGCAAACTTCTGCCCCATAGATAACATTTTTCACTAGAAGATAAAAACTTGTGAAATTAATATTTTTCACAGGAACATACTAATTAAAAACAAAATCGGAAAAGATTTCTCTAGTCCAGGTTGGACCTCATGGTCAAAACAAAACATAGCCAGAAATACCATTCAGACTTGTAACAGCTAGATGTATGTAATTTTTCTGCCTTATTGACACTGAGCACTGAAAACGGATCTTTCTTAACCTGAACATAGAAAGCTTTCCTCTGAAAGCCTGAAAAGTTTCACAGAACTTGAAAACCACATTGGATCATCGGAAAAAGTTTCCTTTTTTTTTTTTTTTTTTTTTGGAGCGAGGGTGGGAAGGGCAGGGAGAAGGAGATTCTGCGAAGTTTCTCAGAGACTTGTTTCTACTATTTCAGTATGGATGTCTAAAATCTTAGTTTCAATGTTAAATATAACAGATAAATACAAACAAAATAGTGACATTACAATTACTTCTGTAATTTGTCATATACAAAACCTGCATCTCAGCCACACTACTGAGGCTACTAAATCTTAGATGGAAAATATGACCATCTGTGAGGCATAGTATGAATGTACTTTTAATCAACTGAATCTTGAATTGTCACTGAAGAATTCACCTAACAGGCCTATTTATGTGACAAAAATGATTGGTCCACAAGGAGCTGCTGTCATTTCTGGGGTAAAAAACAACAGGAAATTCTACTACAAATTAAACATTAATGTATGTCATTCAAATAAAATCTTTAATTCCATTTCAAATCATAGCTGAAATTGGAGAAGCTGTCATAATTCCTCTAATTATAACTATTTTTTTTCAATTTCTGTAATTGAATTTCTTTAACTATAATGGCATTGTACAAAACATAAGTGCTGTATACAATGAACATAAAAGACAAAAAGAAGAACACACAGTAATAAAAGGAAAAGTAGAATAAACCACTAATATTTTTATTAATGTTTTAAAGTATCCCACAGTGTGTTAGGGCAGACTCTACCCTTCTGTTAGGATCTATATTGCTTCAACTTCTGCAGTAGTGGATTGTGATTAGATTTTTATCCTAGCTTCATAGATGGCACATCCAGGTTAGTAGAGGAATGAGGATGTGAGTGACCAATGCAGGCATTTTAAAGGCATTAAACTGAGCAGCAATATCAGCATGCTACCCTGAGAGTGCACGCTATTTTGAGAGTTCCTTTTAGTAACAGGCTGACGTTAAAACAACAACAACAACAAAAAAGATGTACTGTTAATGTCAGATGAGCCAGAACCCAGCTTTTCGTATAATACAGAAAATGCATACAAAATGATTTTTATATCCCCTCTTTGCCTCCCTCGTGTAACATTTGTGAGTCTGAGAACTTCAGCAACATTTCAGATTCAGACTCAGATTCACATCTGGATTCAGATTCTTCTACCACAATTCAACGCAGCTTGCAAGATCTCCACAAAAGTATTTAACAGGCAAGAATGTGCTCTTTTAGAGGCTGACTGCCTTTTTGCTTAAAGCAAGTTTACCAAGCACATGGGATTATTTTGAGTTTAGAAAAGCCAGTTGGTAGTCACGGGGAAAAAAAATGAATTAATTAGACCAGCTCCTGGATTAGCATAATATATACTAACAATTTATAATTATTACAGCAATAAGATTAACTTCTGACTAACATTTTTTTCTTGCAAAATAAAAGGTTAAAAATAGGGGGGATTGACCAAGAAATTTTATTCACCGAAACTAAAGAGGTTTTACTTCCTGTGAAACATCTTTCCAATTTAATGGAATTGAATGTAGTTATTAAAAAAAAAAAGTCAGCATTTCAAAATACAACAACATACCAAGTACTCAAAAAATGTCTTTTGACTTTTTAAAATTTTGGGGGAGTAGAGTTGAGGGGAGAATGTAGGCAGAGGGGCAAGGTAACTGAAGACATCTTTTACAATAACAGCTGAGAGATTTCAGCAGTGACCTACTTAAGACCTATCTCTTTTTCCCATGCACTCAGCTAAAACTCCTGTAAAGTACCTTTCTCTACAACTGGATGTTCAGAGTCCAGCTCAAAATAGCCATATCTAAGTTATTAGACTCATTAAATACATAGAAGTTGCTACAAGTCTCAAAAGTCCCGTGCCCCTTCATCAAAACCTATAGATAAGCACATGAACAAATCTGTCCAAAAGTGACAAGAACAGCCGTATCGATGTATTTCCAACCTGGATGCGGTCAGCAAGAATACTGTTAGTTTAATTTTCATAAATACATCAAATACCAATCCATGTGCATAAGATTGAAAAAGTAATAATAATTAGATACCCTAGCATATTACAAACTTTTTCTTTGTGGACTTAAATCATAAAATGAAAACAGTGTACATTATGGTTGGAAAAAATAAAAAAAAACAAACCTGCCTAATATCTGGAAAATCACAAAGCATTATTAGAAATGAATTTTGCATAATCTGTGAAGCACATCCGTTTTCAGTGCAATTTCTCCCAGGATCGTACAATTGTGCAAACACTATTTGTATTTTCATTCTCCGTATATCTTTATATGAAATGGTGTAAATAATTATATAATTGTATATTCCAATCAAATGAACACAAAATTGTTGGCAAAGAAAGCAATCCCTTTGTTTTCTAAAGCCCTTATTTGTGCATAATGCCAACTAAAATGAATAGAAACTGTATATGAAATTTTGACTACAGCATTAGGCTCTCAGCAGTCCTTTCAGGATGACAAATGTTAAGCATTTACCTAACATTAAGACTGTGTACAAATGCTTTTGCCTAATCAAAGTACATTTGCCCACAGAAATTAAAAAACAAAATTTGTTTTTAACTGGGAAGGGGATAGATAGGGAGTAACACTCTCAGTTACTATACCCTTCCATTTAATTAATATTTAGTCATTATTCCCTCTGTGAGAGTGATTCTGCATGCCACATGCCATTCCAATAGCTAAAACACATTTAAAATGTATTTTTTATAAGAAAATACATCTTTCAAAAAAATAGGAAGGGATACTTCACAAAAATGGATCAGTATTTAAAGCAGTTTCACATAATCAATAATGGAATTAGAGGAAAAGAAGGAGCTCAGCGGACACTTTCCTGGACACACTCATGAAGATAATCTGCTGAATACAAGTAGTTCTTCACACTGGGTGATGGCCTATAGCTTTCTGGATTTTGTTGAGAGAAGCAGCTGGAAAGCATTCTTCCCAAATCTGTCCAACGTCTTTTGTTGTCTTTGGTATAGGATCAGGCTCCATATTTTACTGTTACCTTAATGTGCTTGAAAATGTTTTTGAAGTTCATCATCACAAACATTAAACTGAGTTAGTAATTCCATCAGTCAAGCAATGCTGTCCATTTTTAAGTTGTTTTGGTTTTTTAATAGAAATTTAAAATATATACTGAAGTCATATGTATGTACATATACATATCTACACACACATATATATGTACACACAAACACAAAGAAAATTTTTCTCAAACTTTTTCCAAGCTGTAACTGGAGTGTCCAATTGCAGGTCAGCAGCCCCTTTTCTTTTGTGACAATAGTAAAACCAAGAGAAGCTGAAAATCCACTGTTTTTAAAATTAGTCTGTACAAAACAGTTTCAAAACATTTTGAAAAAGTCTAAGTTGATTCAGAATGACAACATTTGAAGACTTTTTTTTATATACTCTTAATACTTCAAACTGCCAAAAAGCTAAGT